TGACATGTAATGTAATAAAATATGCCCAAAAGTAGACAATATTTGTACAGTGAGAAAATATGCCTAACACTAGGCAATATTTCCATAATGCTAAACGTAGTGTAGTTGAACAATTAATAACTGTAATTTTAAATGTAAAACAATACATTTGGGGAAAACATTTGTAAATTAAGTATTCGAAGAAGAAAATATATATTAATAATGAAATTCATGTAATAATAAAAGTATGTCCTTTAATATGCTTTTATATAGCTTGTTACATGGTTAAAACAAAAACACAAAATAAAATAAAGTTAAATATTTTATTAATTGAAGTGAAAAAAAAATTATCAAGGAATTGTGTAAAATGCCCGTAAACAAACTATCACTGAATGCTTCCCTATACGTCCTACAGGTATGCAATGAATTTTGCCCAATTTCGAAGAAAACCGGCTTAGATTAATTAAATTTTCATATTTAAAAATTTGATTTTTTAATTAAACATTTTCAATTTTTTATACGCAATATTAATGTAAATTTATTATCTATGTGAAAAAATTGTACAAAATTTTTCCATACTAAAAAAAAGTTATGACTCATTTTTTCTATTACAAAGTTATTTTCTATATGAAAAAAAATATTTTGATTTTTTTCTATAAGAAAAATCTGCTCTGAAAAGGAAATTTCCGATGTGATGCCAAATGTCCGAACCTTGACACGGTTGAATTTAATTCGTAGATGCAATTTCGCAACAATAGTCGACATAAATACAACTTATCAAGTAAAGACATTTGTAAGCCACATTGCCCAATATGCCTGATAAGCCGCTTAACCAACGGCGAAACGCGTCGCATAGTGGTGGGAATGTAGTATCTCTCTGGCTATCCTTTTCATTGCAACTCCGATTAGGTAGCTCATCTCGAAAGAGAAATTAATAAAAAAAAGAAAAAAGTTTTTTTTATTATTTTCTATATGATGAAGTTATTTCTGATTTTTTTTTTTCTATTTGAAGAAAATATTTCCGATTTTTTACTAAACATGAAAAAAAAATTCCAAATTTTTTTCTATGCAAAAAAAAAAAAATATTCATTTGAATTTTTTTTCTATGCGAAAAAAATTAACTCCGAATTTTTTTCTATGCGAAAAAATTAATTCCGTTTTTTTCTATGCGAAAAAAGTTAATTTCGATTTTTTTCTATGCGAAAAAAATTAATTCCAATTTTTTCTATGCGAAAAAAATTATTTCCGAATTCTTTTCTATGCAAAAAAAAAAAAAAAAATAATATTTCCGATTTTTTTTTCTATGCGAAAAAAATTATTTCCGAATTTTTATCTATGCGAAAAAAATTATTTCCGAATTTTTATCTATGCGAAAAAAATTATTTCCGAATTTTTATCTATGCGAAAAAAATTATTTCCGAATTTTTTTCTATGCGAAAAAAATTATTTCCGAATTTTTTTCTATGCGAAAAAAATTATTTCCGAATTTTTTTCTATGCGAAAAAAATTATTTCCGAATTTTTTTCTATGCGAAAAAAATTATTTCCGATTTTTTTTCTCTACGGAAAAAATTATTTCCGATTTTTTTCTATGCGAAAAAAAATATTTCCGAATTTTTTTCTATATTATTTCTAAAATTTTTTCTATAAAAAAAAAACTTATTGATCAGAAAAATATACGATGTACAATATATGTACAAAATGTTCCTTTTTTCGTTTTATTCAAAAATTGTTTTCAATTTTATTATACCACAAAACATATACCAATTTTTTTAATACCAACAAATTAAAAAAAAAAAATATTTAAAGGCAAAGTTAATTATATTTTTGCCTCAAAGTATGCAACGTAAAAATATGTTAAATAAATTAAATTATTGGTTTAATTTTCTCATTGGGATAACAATTTAATCATGTTATTAAATACAATTTCCCCACTATAATATTCTCTTTTCTATATATATATTTTTTCAATTTATAATAAACTTGTAATCAACTTAAAAAACACCCATCAAACCTATCAACAAATAAACCAAAACGCCAAGTGTTCACTCAATAAAAGATTACCACAGAAATGCCGGTGACAGCTATTTCACAATTGTTAATAATAAATAGTTTAAATGTTAATATTAAATATAGCATAAAATGTGGTTAATTAATTTCCCCAACATTAATACAATGTTTTCATCATATTCGTTATTATTATTGTTGTTATTATTTTTATAAATATTTCATATAAAACCGCGATTGAATAACAACACCACCAACCAACAACAATAATAGCTATAATAATTTTTATTATTATCATTTCCATAAAAAAACAACAACAACAAACAACAACAACATTGTGTATTTATTTTTAATTATAGACAATCATTAATTAGTTGGGACAAATTAGTGGAAAAATGCAACATATTTGCTTGCCATTATAAAAAAATAATGGCAATTGGTTGTAGCATACTTTTAGGGGAGGAGGGTGAAAAAACATAAATCATATAAAGTATACTTGTTGTATGGTAAGATAATAATAATAAAAAATTATTTTTAATGATAATAAACACATTTGACATAATGAAATAATTGATAACAGACAGACAGACATGTTAATGAAGTTTGTTGGGAAGTTTTTTTTTCATATTTTTTTCCTACAAAGTTTTTATATTTATAAACGAATTTGTTAGAGAGTATTATTTACATTTAATTAAGTAATACACAATTTAATAAACTTTTTGTTTTGTTGTTGTTGAGATTTCGTAATGTGAACGTATGTTATTTGAAATATTAATATAATTATCTCAATAGAGGAGAAAAAAATATAAATCCACAAATGTAATGGGAATAATCATAATATTCTAACGGCATCATTACAGATAAAAGCCTAAAAGTAGGCATTGAAAACGTTTTTAATGGATTTAAGATTGAATGAAATCTCCATATGTGGCATTTAGGCAATTTTTCAAGTAACATTTGAAATACGAAATGTCTGACATTTCTATTCCTATATCCATAAATGATTTCAAAAAAGTTTTGTGTGTGTGTTTTTTTTTTCAAAATCCTTTTTTATATTTATTATTTTTTTTCTTCTTCTATCCATTTCAAGTTTTCATGTGGCACTTGAGTTATGCAGTTATATTTGAATTTCTTTGTTTGCATTGTTGTTGTTTTAGAAAATCGATTTTCTTTCTCGTTTGTACAAACAATATTGAATATGTCAGACAGGTAATTGTCAGGTGAAATAAGCTTTTAGTCCATTTTCTATGCCATGGAGGTTGGAAAACACGTAAACCTGTCTAAAAAAAACGGTTGGCTGGCATGTTGGCGGCACTTGACGTTTGAAATAAATATAATTGCACGGGAACGGGATATTTTAAAAGTAAATTGGATGGTTGGGAAATTTCCTTGGAGTAAAGGAAACATTTCGATATGCGAAAAAATTCCTTACGACTTTTTTGCTATATGAAAAATGTTTTTTCGAATTTGTTTCTATATTTAAAATTGTTTCTATACGAAAAAAAAAATATTTTCGAATTTTTTTTCGAAAAAATATTTAAAATTGTTTTATACGAAAAAAATATTTTAAATATTTGATAAAAAAAACAAAAACAAAAAAAAAGGAAAAAAAAAATTTTTGAATTTTTTTCTTAATGAAAAAAATATTTAACGAAAAAAATTTAACACAAAAAAAAATTATTTCGATTTTTTTTCTATACAAAATATATATATATATATATTGAATTTGTTCTATACGAAAAAAATTATTTTCGAATTTTTCTCTATTCTAAAAAAAATATTTCCGAACTTTTTCTATGCGAAAAAAAATTATTTCCCAATTTTTTTCCATACGAAATCCTGCATTTCCGAACTTTTTTCTATACCAAAAATTTATTTCCGAACTTTTTTCTATACGAAAAAAATTATATATATATATATATATATATATTCTATGCGACAATATTTTCGATTTTTTCATAACGAAGAAAATTAGTTTTGATTTGTTTTATACGAAAAGAAATTTCCAATTTTTTTTTCTGTAAGAAAAAAATATTTTTAATTTTTTTACTAAAAAATATTCCGTAGATTTTCTATTCGAAAGATTCCGAATTTTTTTCTATGCGAAAAAATTATTTCCAAATTTTTTTCTATGCGAAAAAAAAATTATATTCCGCATTTTTTTTGTTGCCAAAAAAAAAATCGAATTTTTCTATACTAAAAAAAAATATTTTCGAATTTTTCTCTATTCCAAAAAAAATTATTTCCGAACTTTTTTTTTCTATGCTAACGAAAAAAATTATATAAAAAAATTATTTCCCAATTTTTTTCCATACGAAAAAAACATTTTTTTCTATACCAAAAATTTATTTCCGAACTTTTTTCTATACGAAAAAATTTTATATATACATATATATATATATATTTTCTATACGACAATATTTTCGAATTTTTTTTTTCATGCTAAAAAAAAAAGAAAATTAGTTCTGATTTGTTTTATACGAAAAGAAATTTCCAATTTTTTTCTATAAAAAAAAATATTTTTAATTTTTTTACTAAGAAATATACCGTAGATTTTTTATTCGAAAAATTATTTCCGAATTTTTTTCTATTCGAAAAAAAAATATTCCAAATTTTTTTTTCTATTCGAAAATAATTATTTCCGAACTTTTTTATTACACGTCCCATATATTACTTTAAAATGAAGCCACCTAAAATGTGAATGATGAACCTCCTTCCACATAAAAACATTCTTTTGTGTTTGTTATATAAACTGTATATATATACAGTATTTTAAGTGTTACATATGTACAACCATATGTATTACTTTCCAATTTTTTATATATTTTATTAATACCCAAATAAATTATGTTTAATTAGTTTATGATTAATGTTAATGGTTCGTTTGTACAAAAACTATATAAAACCATAATATATATATATATATATATATATATTTCTATAATTAATATATAACAAATAAATACATTATATATTGAAAATAATGAAAAATAAATAAATATTCAATCTTCTTACCTCCAACACTTGAACCATTCTGTTGTGAATACAAATTCTGTTGGGCTGTCTGTGGTTGAGGTGGATACAATTGGGGTGGACCTTGTGGTGGTGGCCCGGCGCGGGCAGCGCCCGGAGGCACTAAGACCGGAGCGGGGCTAACAAGGCGCATTGGTGTTCCCGTACGTGGTCCCATGACAAGCGAGCCGCTTTGATCAAAGAATGCCGGTATGACCTGAACAGGGCGATCGATTATGATGTTGATGATGACGATGGCGATTGAAGTACGACGTTGCCATGGGAGTGTGGTACAACAATTTCATTGATTTTTACAAAAATAATTTGCGTTAGATTGTTTTTATTTTTTTATACAAAGTTATTTTAGAGGTTAATATTCATGTATGGGAAGCAGGAAAAAGCAAAAGGGGTTAGGGTTTTTTGGTTTGGTATGGGGAAGAGAGAAGAAGAGAAAATATATATTTTTTGTTTAGGATGTGGTTATTAATAAGTTTTTTTTTTATAAATAATATATACAAAATATTGTCATCATGTTTACAATATTTTACATATTTTGGTTTTCAAAAATAAAAATGTACAATACTTTTTTTACAATTTATTTTAAATAAAAAAATCATTTATCTCACCTGATAGGATTGATTTTCGGCGCCCTGCTGTGATGGTGTCAACGGTCTACGCGGCTGTGTGCCCTGTTGTGGTATCAAATTACCCGGATACATGCCCCATGGTGCCACACCATAATATTGGGGCATTTGTGCTGCTATTAGACCCATATAGGGTGCTGCATCTTGCCCAGGATTGATGACATAGGGTGCCGCTTGTTGCGCAGCATAGGCAGCATTCTGTTGGGCAGCCAAAAATTGTTGTGAGGCAGCAGCCATTTGCATTTGTTGCGGTTGCATTGTGCCATTTGGTGCACCAGGCTGTGCTGCAGAGGTGGCCGCCGCAGCGGCTGCAGCTGCGGCCGCAGCATTCGTGGCAGCAGCAAGACCGGGATTCTGTGAGCGGAAAAGTTGCTGGAACGGGAGAGGAAATAAGTAAAAAATTAGATAAAATCGTTGATTATTTGTTTTTTTTTTTAAATATTTTTAGAAATATGTATTTTTTTGAAGAACTGTAAAACCAAATATATCAAATGCAAATAATTCAATACAAACTAAAATAATTTAGAATTGTTTACTATAATTTAAATTTGTTTCCAAATTCTTTTCTATGCGAAAAAAAAATTATTTTCCGAATTTTTTTCTATGCGAAAAAACAAATTATTTCCGAATTTTTTTCTATGCGAAAAAACAAATTATTTCCGAATTTTTTTCTATGCGAAAAAACAAATTATTTCCGAATTTTTTTCTATGTGAAAAAACAAATTATTTCCGAATTTTTTTCTATGCGAAAAAAACAAACGAAAAAAATTATTTCCGAATTTTTTTCTAGGCGCAAAAAAATTATTTCCGAATTTTTTCCTATGCGAAAAAAATTATTTCCGAATTTTTTCCTATGCGAAAAAAATTATTTCCGAATTTTTTTCTATGCGAAAAAAACAAATTTCCGAATGTTTTTCTATGCTAAAAAAATTATTTCCGAATTTTTTTCTATGCTAAAAATGATTTCCGAATTTTTTTTCTATGCGAAAAAAAATATTTCCGAATTTTTTTCTATGCGAAAAAAATTATTTCCGAATATCATGTCTATGCGAAAAAAATTATTTCCGCGAAAAAAATTATTTCCGAATTTTTTTTCTATGCTAAAAAAAAAAAAAAAAATTATTTCCGATTTTTTTCTATGCGAAAAAAATTATTTCCGAATTTTTTTCTATGCGAAAAAAATTATTTCCGAATTTTTTTCTATGCGAAAAAAAAAAAATTATTTTCCGAATTTTTTTCTATGGGAAAAAAATTGTTTCCGAATTTTTTTCTTTGCGAAAAAAAATTATTTCCGAATTTCGGAAAGTGATTTTGAATCTTGAGTAATTTTTCTATAGGATTTTTATTTTTGTATTATCCTTATAAGAATTATTCTTCCTATCTTTACTAAACTTAGTTTAATTCGTGTTAAGGCACTTCAGCCTAAAATCCCACTACACTTTCTTCCACATTGTAATAATCGCCTTCTAAGCGATTATTATCGCTTCAATGAATTCCTGTCACTTTTAGTTTATATCCAAGTTGTTGATGTTGGCGTTGTTGTTTGTTTTGTATTTTCTTTTCGTAATCCTTTTTGGCATGAATGTAGGTCATGACATTTGACATCTGTTGCTGTCGCGTTGACTTAACTCGAAACGACTATTTGGGCTGGGCAATAATGATGGCAAATAACAACAACGACGTTAGTCGCTAGCTAGGCTGTCGCTGGGTGTTATTGTCACGATGTCAAGGCAAATGGAAAAACTAGTTTCTAAAACAATTTCCTCATCCCGACCAACTCACCATCACCACCACAAAACGCCACCAAGCAATGGGTACTTATTGTCAGATGTTTCCTTAAAGTTTGATAATTATTTAAGTTTAAATACAATTTTCTTGTGAAAAAAAATGAAATAACGCCAAAGGAAGAGAAAGTTGCTAAAGGAAATCATATTTTTGTAATGACAAGGAGTGAGCCATTGTTGTTGAGTAGTTGACGTCGACAAGGCTTAATGTTTGAATTTTCAATTTCCTTTTATTTTCTTTTCTTTTCGTTTTTTGTTCATTTGTTTTTATTTCATTTCTCTTATTGCTGATATTATTTAATAATATGCTCCCCAAAGTATGCAACGTATTTTGTTTCTCAGTTTCTTTTGCCCCCTTGGGTTAAACTCGACAATGATTTCATAAGTTGTGAATAATTTTTTCTCGTTCTTTTTCTCTTCATGTTCTTTTGCTCCTTTGCTCATTTACATTTTTCTCTGATTTCTTGTGGCTGTCTGATTTTCTGTATTTTTCTTCTTTTTTCCATTACGTTCTTTAGTTTTAATGTTTTGTGCCTGGGTGTGTGTGTGTGTGTGTGAGTACACGCTCGTCGGTCTCCTGTGTACTTAAATATTCAATTACTTGTGTGCCCATTGTTTGCAAGCGTCTTAATAAATTAAAATGTTATGGGTGGATGTAGATGTGTGTGTGTCTTTGCGAAAGAGGAAAACGTGTGCAAGTAGAGGTGGATGGATGTTATACCTGGTGTAGTTTTTAGCTCAAATTCTGGGTGGGGTCTTTGGCATAATTTCAGGCTTAGTTGCGTATGAAATGTGACACAACTAAAATGCAAAGGGGTGATGTGGTTCTTCTGTGCCATATTTTTGTGTTTGCCATTATTTCCATGCCTTATTTCATGGCTCAAAGAGAAAGCACATTGTTGTCGTCGTCATTGAGACACATTGTTGTTGTTGCTTTGTATATTGTGAAAATGTGACTACCCAAGATCATATAACACAATAATTGGTACAAGGTATATTGTATTTTGTTGTGATTGTATAATTCATGCAACAATACGCACAAAAGTATGCAATTATTTTATTATTGTTTCTGTTGTTTTTTTTTGGGGGGATATATTTATGGCATATACGGGGTAGGAAGGAATAAATGTTCAAGGAAATGTGATTTTAGAAATTAGTTTAGAGGGGTGAATGGAAATCTAAATTTATAATAAATTTAAAATTAAGATATACAAAAAAAAATCGGAAGAAATTTTTTCCGTATAGAAAACAATTTTTTCGGAAAAACATTTTTTTTCTAAATTTGAAATTTATAATGAATTTATAAGATATAAAAAAAAAATCGGAAGAAAAAATCTGAACAATTTTTTTCGTATAGAAAAAAATTCGGAAATAATTTTTTTTCGCATAGAAAACCAGTAAGGAATGTAGTAAAGTCGGACGGGGCCGACTTTATGATACCCTTCAGCACTTTGGGTATATTCAACAGATGAATCCTAAAAGACGTTGCATTTTTAAAGGACCATAAAATAAAATTTGATCCATAAACATGTCATTCTGCAACCGATACTACATTTTTGATTTGGTCAGATATATAAGCTATATCTAAATCTGAACCGATTTTCAGGAAACTTAACACACATAATTCTGGACCTAATTCATTACGTTGCGCCAAATGTTGTGCAAATCGAAGGATATCAAGGGACTTTGGTGAACCATTTACATTAAATCGGACGAAAATATATATGGGTGCTATATCTAAATCTGAACCGATTTTCAGGAAACTTAACACACATCATTCTAGACCTAATTCATTACGCTGTGCCAAATTTCGTGCAAATCGAAGGATATCAAGGGACTTTGGTGAACCATTTACATTAAATCGGACGAAAATATATATGGGTGCTATATCTAAATCTGAACCGATTTTTCCCAATTTCCATAGGGTTCGTCGTTGGACCTATGCCAAATTTCATCCAATTCGGAAATAAAATTTTTCGCATTGAAAAAAATTCGGAAATAATTTTTTTTGCGTAGAAAAAAATTCGGAAATAATTTTTTTTCGCATAGAAAAAAATTCGGAAATAATTTTTTTTCGCATAGAAAAAAATTCGGAAATAATTTTTTTTTTTTGGCATAGAAAAATATATGGAAATATTTTGTTTGCATAGAATAAAGTTCGGAAATATTTTTTCGAATAGAAAAAAATTTGGAAATAATTTTTTTCGCATAGAAAAGAAATTCGGAAATAATTTTTTTCGCATAGAAAAAAATTCGGAAATAATTTTTTTTCGCATAGATAAAAATTCGGAAATATTTTTTTCCCCATTGAAAAAAATTCGGAAATATTTTTTTCCCATTGAAAAAAATTCGGAAATAATTTTTTTTCCCATTTTTTTGCATAGAAAAAAAATTCGGAAATATTTTTTTCGGATAGAAAAAAAGTCGTAGATATTTTTTTCGCATAAAAAATATACGAAATATTTTTTTTCGCATAGAAAAATTTCCAAAAAAAATTTTTTCGCATAGAAAAAAATTCGGTAGTATTTTTGTTTGCATAGAATTCTACCAATTTTTTCGCATAGATTTATTTCCTACACCAAAAAATTATATTTATATTTTTCTTGAAATTTTCATAACCACATCGTTATCTTAAATAATTATTTTCGTGTATATTTTTCCCTAGGAAAACACTTAATGGAAGATGTTCGCTCGTGGTGTATCTCTCTCATTGTATAAGCATAATAAAACAATAATCTTACCCGCGAGATTTCCTTTAATGATACTTTAACACATTTCAGCCTAAATGTAGGCAGTGGTTTTTATTGCTTTATTTTGGCAAACACACACAGTAGTCACACATTCACTTGTGGTTTAGTTGAATTTTTATTACATGATTGGGAGGAAATACAATGAACTGTGTGCCACAATAACGAAAAAAAAAATAAGATTAACGATTATTGAACACCATGGTAATGTGAAAAAGCCTAAAAATATACACCGAATATGTTATATGACAATGGAAACAAATATACCTTTTGCTTTTAAGGATAAATGTACTCTCGTGTTATAATATAATAAAAATGGAAATGTATGACAATAATGGTAGTATTACTGTCACGCTCAGTTGCAAAAATAAAAAAATGAGTGTCTTGTCTTTGAAGTATATTTTTAGGCATATGAAGAGGAAACGTGAAGACTACCTGTATCAAATATATTTTTTTGGTTTGTTGGTAATAATATAATAAAAAATCTCCACTCATCCACAACCGTTTAAAAAATGGACTACTCCTCCCCACCTCCCCTCTATTCAACAATTTCAACTGTTGCCAAGCATCATTGCCTACCACCTAATCATTTTGTTGAAATCAAAATCAAAGTTGCTTAAAAACGAAGAAGCAACACATGTTGATGTGATTCCATTTCACAGTTCAAATCCCTTGGCAAACTCATATATAAATTTATTTTTTTTCTCGTTCTCTCCTCCCCCTTGTTGAGCCTTAAGATATGCCTTGTTTTTTAAGATTGTATGTAGTCAAGCGTTACATGTTTTATTTTTTTTTGTTTCAGTTTCCCCCCAAAGCATATTGTTAGGCGGGGAAACTGCTA